TTATGGTGACTTCAGCGTCACATGTCAGACGAAACATTCCCAGTGTATTTGGCTGTAGTGAAAGTTGGCTTTAATGATAGTTGAATAAGAATGAATCAGATACACTCAAAAGCGTAATATATAAAAAACCAGCTAATAGTGAGGGTATGGTGCGCAAGCACAGATGTGATCTGTTATGGTTTTATGAAAACTGACATATCAGTCACAATAGAAAAATGCCGCAACTGAATCAACGACAAGAAATATATATTGGTCATCAGATCACTTTCTGTCCTCTGAATAGCGTTGCCAAATTATTCACAGCTCGAATGACTATGACAAACTACAGGATTTGGAACTTCTTCATCACCCTCCATACTCACCGGTTTTAGCTTTCATTGATTACCACTTCTAATTTAATTCCGAAACTCTGTGATACTGGTCGTTAATGAATTTATTGACTATCATTTGCCATATACACTGGTGGGCAAAATTAAGAGAAGGAAGACATTTTCTCAAATATCTAAAAAACTACTGAATATAAATAAATAAAATTTGGTATGGATATAGCTTATTCCATGATAATAAAGTATGCAAAACAAAAATGAAAGTGCCATTTACTGGCAAAACCTATTGCCAATAAATCCAATGTAGTCTGAACTTATGGATAAAAGATGACAATAAAAGTGAGGCTTGTACAGTGTGTGCTGCTTCTAGTATGGTGTATGGTCACCCTTGACAGACAGACAGCATGCACAACGAATATGCATGCTGTTAACAAGGGAGTTAAGGAGAACTTGTGGAAGACCCTCCCATTCTTCCACCAGAGCAATTTTTAACTCCAGAATGGTTCTGGGCAGAGGTTGGCGCGTCGCAATAGCTCTCCCAAGAGCATCCCAAGCATGTTCAATAGGATTCAGGTCAGGAGATTTGGCTGGCCAATCCATTCGTTAAATATCATCGCTTTCCAGATACTCATCAACCATGAGAGCCCTATGTGGTCTCGCATTGTCGTCCATAAAAATGAACTCATTGCCAACAGCGCCCCTGAAAAGATGCACACAGGGCTCTAGGACCTCCTGCCTGTACCTCTGGGTATTCACGGAACCATTGTCAAACACAGGGAGCGGTGTGCGGGTATCTTGCATGCTCGAATGAATGTGCGAAAATGCTTTCCATCTCTTAATTTTGTCCACCAGTGTATTTTATCCTACTTGTTGCTTGTTTATCAAAAGTTTAGAGAAAATGTAGGTGCACACTTTGATAAATAGAATAGTTCCTTATATCAGCGTTCGTTACCAATTGAATTGATTTCGATGCTGGTTCGTTTGATAAAAAGTTAATAAAAACCAAGGATTGTATTAGAATTTTATTTTCATCGGTGCTAAGAGAAAGCACAAGCTATTGGATTTTTACTGTTTTTTACTGTTGTGGAATAAAAACAAACAATGGACAAAGGATGCCAAATTAGTGCGATATTTTTAACATATTGAACAATCAGTAAACTATCAACTAACTTTGACTTTTTAAAAAAAATTTACACCTCACGATATGAAAATATGGTTTACTTGGCATGAGCTTGGAGAAGGTGTGAAAGATATTACGGTACAATACACTCCATACTTTCTAACAGAGAATAATATTATTTTTTTCAAATTGCCTCAATACATTTAATCTCATAGAATTCAAGAGCTGGTTAACAAACTATTACCCAAATTCTGAAAAATAATTAGTATTTAATTTTAAAGAAAGTTTGAAAAGTTTGAATGAGTTTCGTCATCTTTAGAATAGAATTTTTTTTAAAAAAAAATACAGCATAGTATCTAACCCACGCACGAAAATGAAACTAATTTCCCAAAGCTTGTTATATCGTTTTGGAGCATGACATTTTAAAGGCAGGTACCAAAAAATTTATTTTAACCACCGAACATAAGAGACTAATTAGAACCTGCTTCTACTAAAAGAAGTATTTAGGCAGAAGCTCATTTTTCTCATTTAGAGGAAGGGAAAAAAATCAAATTTGAACCCCTGGTGTAGATAACGACCTTATGGGGAAAATATATTTCTCGGTTCGTTAAGTATCTACCTTCTCAGAGGAAAGCTTACTCTGATTTATATGGTGAAAAACGTAAGCTGACATTATAAATCTTATCTGTGTTCAGATTATAAGCTCTCTTTCATAAAAAGTGCCACCATTGAAACCTCCATTGCGGGAGACTTATTATCATTATGTAGAAGGAATGACATTTATTTATTACTTACAAGAAAAACTATGGAATATTGTAGGGGAAAGATGCAATTTAGAGATTTTTTGTTCCAAATACAGTGTTTAAACAGTATTTTACATTTGGAAAAAAAATTTAATTTACTGGACTTATTTAGAGGGGTACTTCAGGCTCAAAATATTTATTAATTTTTGTTAGAGAAACGACTGATGGATGCAACATATAATTAGCTATCTTTTTTTTAAATAAAATCGTATGAAAAAGGAAATTAAAATTTCTAAGAATGTGATTCTCAATTGCAAGGATTTCATCATGCGAAACATTATAAAACCACATAATAGTGGTCATTTTTTAAAAATTACTTTGAGAAAAGCATAGTGAATGAACCCCATACCTTAAACTCCTATTTTTTTTTCATCGTTTAACATCTTGGTAGCCTGAATATTAGTTACAGTGAAACCTTTCGTGAGCGACCACTCTCTGTTCCCCATTGAAATGGTCGTTAATGGAATTGGTCGTTGTTAGGGGTTACCTCTATTGAAATTAAAATGTTAAGGAAGGTACATGATTTTCAGCAAGCAATTTTAATTTTAGTCCGTTTCATTTTTGGGCGTTAACTTGCCACTTTTGTAGTCTTTATGAAATACGGTTTGATGAATAAAATTTAGCGTCAATAAAAATGACCCCTACTTATATACTTATGTGTAAAAACAAATTTAATTATGAATGATAAGACTATTTTAAATAAATAAGCACTTAATTTTTTTTTGCTTAAGTTTACGTTTAATTTCATATGATAAGATATAGTTTTAAAAGATGAGCGGAAGTTTGTCTGCTTAAGATGCTTAGTTTTTTTTAATTTGTTTTTAAAAAATTTAACTTTCAGCTCTAAAAATAAATAAATGATAGTCCTTAGTACACTCTGACTGCAACATGAGGTTGAAGATCTTTTTCAAAAAGAGCTTTCTAAGTAAGAGCCTCACTCAAACATTTTGAATACATTTTAATCTACATATTTGTATGGTTAATATTTTTTGCATTGATATTTCTTCGTGTGTCTTTATTTGACCACTTCCACACTTGGTGCTGAGGTTTACCCGGACTGGAAGAGATTTCACTGGAAGAGATTTTGAGGATCTCTTCTAAAGGTCTTCATTATCACTAAGTGTATGGAGAAAAAAAATTCCGCGCCTCCTAAAATGGGTCGTAAATAGTGGAGGTTGCTACATAGAGATGGTATTTCCTGAAGGTTTTACAGTAACGCATTTCCTGATAAAATACTTTACATTTTTGTAACAGATCATAATATGAACTAATATTTAAAATACTAATATGTTAAGGAATATCATTTTAAAATAAAAGTAAATAAGGAAGTTAAAAGGAAGAAACAACAACCATGGCTTCGTATTTGAGGAGAATGTACGTAGCGGGCTCTGAAAAACTGAACTCTCAACCTTCAGAGCCGTTCAACAGTCTTGTCTTTGTATTTCAATTAAGTGTAATTATCGTACTATTGACCGAATTTAAAAATTTGGTTTAATATATATTATATATATANTGGCTGTCCGTAGAGTCTATATAATTCAAAGTTGTATCTGATTCGCCCACTGCCTCTTTCCTGTACTGGGCCAAAAATATTTCTGAGGATTTTCCTTTCAAAAAAACAATACACAAACAGACACACACACACACATATATATATATATATATATATATAAAACCTTCAGAGTATGGCTATACTAGTGGGATAAATTAAATTCAACAAACTATATTAATACAAGATCAAAAGTTAAAAATTGTAAAAATTACGTTTATGAGCATTGCGTTGTATGAGTATATAAATATTTAAGAAAAACTAAAAATGAATTATATTTTTAAAAACAGTTCAGTTTTTTCCATTTCTTAAAATAAGAAATAAAAATTGCCACAATCCTTCGTTCAGAAAGATTGAAAGGTCCCGAATCCTGGAAAGAGGTGCAAAAAGACTGGAAATTAAAATCAAGACAAAAGAATCCATTTATATTATTTACTTTCCTTACTTACTTCCTTCAGAGAGTTTGCTGGGCTCAGGAAATGTGATCAGGATTCTTTTGCAGGCATAGCATGGGACTAAGGTTCAAGTTTTGGAAAAGTATATTCTTCTTACAGAATAAGTTGAGAAAATAAAAGTTCTTAGACTCAAATAACGTCCAAACAGAGAGTCAGTTTCTTGGATGGAATTATGCATTGCATGTGCTCCTCTGGTTATAAAAGTTTTCGCCAAAAGGTTAAAACAGCGTGATGTAGAACAAGTGTGATGCAGAAACCTCACAGTAATCACCCAGCCAAAGAACTTTTGCTGTCTATCTAAACTTAAAACTCCCCTCATAAGCTGTCTGGAACTCTTTCGGCGACTATTATGGGGATAAACTATTCCAAGTAGAGAGATGGGGAAAACATTTAAAATAGTAGATTTTGCCTAGGTTCGGGATATTAATAAAATAATATAAAAAATAATAAAATGCCATACGATACTTAAAATGCGTTTTTTCTTTCTTCCGTAGCAACAAGCAGGCCCAGACTCTTTAAAATAACTTGCCTACATTTACATTACTCCCTTACATTCATTTATTTATATTGATATATTGATATTATAATATCGATTTATTTCAATTATGTTATTTTATTCTGTTATGTTATGTTATGTAAGATCTATCATGCTTTAAGCTTTGGATGCTAAACAACTTTTTTCTTTCTCTTAACATACAATGCCTGCGTTTGTCAGAATAAGAGAGAAACTTTCCCTTCTTTTTTCAGTGATTGGTCTCCTTAGCCAAGTGATCTCCCCTTTCCGTCAAACAATTGGGGGTGTGGAGGTAGAGATGGTGAATCCAGCCTCAACCCTGTTTGTGTCATTGTGATGTTCCTCTCTAAATTGCGGCGCCTTCTGTTCTCCAACTTGGTAAAGTATTATTAACCTTTTTCTTTTAAATTGCAATAACCACCCATGGCTACATACGTTTGTGCAATAATAGATAAACTAGGAGGCTTCGCCCCCTGCTCGCTGGCGCTCGCCAACCCCCGAAACTGCTTTCGTTGTTCATTTCGGATTGCTTCGCAATCCGATGCTCGCTTTGCTCGCTCATTGGATACGTTCTTAACGTCTAGCTTTTGTATACTTTTTTGAACACTGAAGTTCCGAAAACTTTTCACTGTAGAAAATTCTGAACCTGTGCATTTCAATATTAATTTGAAATTGCAAACAGTTCACATATTTTTCTTAATCACACTATTCTAAATTTCAGTTGTTGAGAAAAGTAACTGTTGTAAGTTTTGTTTTAAAGTCTTTCCCACCAGAAGGCTAAAACCATGTGTTGTAAAACAATATGAAATAGTACTGAACGCCGGATGTAAAGCATCGGCTTCGATGAAGATAATTTTGTGAGAGTTTTTTTGATAATTCGGTGAGAATTCACCCAATTAGACATATGATGCTCACTGCGTGCTCTTGCGCGCCGAAGCCATTAAAAATGAAAATGAAGAATTAAAAATGAAAACTGTTGCCAACGCGAGAAAAGAAATATCATTGGTTTTATTGATACATACGTATTAGCGTTTTATATAATAAGATACTTCCGGTGCAGGGAAGTTTTGCGGGTTTTAGAAATTTCTCATCTTTTCCCTACTATACAATCTTTGACTCAGCTTAGACAGAGTAAATTTCTTCATTAAATGTCACACAGCTGTGATATTTTCCCTCCAAATGACAAGATAAAAGGGAGGGAGAGGATGTGAGCGTCATGTGTCGTATACCTGCGCGTTCTGCGATTTTTGATGTTTGAAAATTTATTTGTTTACTGAGTTGCAAGTCATATTTGTAGTTTAATTTGTTAAACTTGTGCTGCCCTCAAGTGAATGAGATAAAGAGTATTACAGCAGTGGTGCCATCTATGTTTAGATGAGAGTGGTTCGCATTCCTTCAGTACAGATTCGAAAACGATGTGAGTGAATGTAACAAGAAAGAAGGACGTAACTTTTGAACCGTAGGGCCCTACGACGGGCGTTAAGTCTCACGGATAAGGGGATCACATAACTTTGATAGGCAATAGCTTGCTTTATGAAGTACTACGTCGCTAAATTTTGCTAAACGTAACCTTACTAAATGTAAAACGTCGCTAAATTTCGCTAATTGTATACGTCGCTAAATGTAATTCTCTGCAAGAGTAATGTAACGCGATGGGCTCCATCAGTGATAATATCTCAATATTTAAATAAAAACAAGAAGGAAAAAAATTAAATGTTAAAAATTAAATATAGTTAGGTGCTTATTAGGTTGAGCAAATTTGTTTATGCAGTTTCAAATTTCACAAATAATGTTCAAACAAACAAATCTAAACTATTCAAATTCCAAAGATGATAAACTAATAAACCTATGATTTGTTCTACCAGAAATTTACTATTTATTCATGGGCATTTATCAATTTTACATATTATTTTATCTAATTTTATGAGGATTTTTTTTCCAAAAAGAAATAAAACTTTTATTACTTATTTTTCTATCTACTCGAAGTGGATCCATTTAAACGAATGACTTATTGACAGCAACATTCCACTTTAAGTTTAGCTAGGAATTATGATCTAGGTATTCGATATTCTGTTCGCCAAAAATAGCATTTTCTTCTTTTTTCGAGGATAAGAGATAAATGCTCTGGAAAGCGGTATAACGTAATTCCCTTTCGCTGAAACCCATGGATCAGGAACTATTTATATAACTTGGTATAAAAATTATTTGCAACAACAAACAACAAAAAAAGCAATCATCAATGATTTTATTTTAGTTTAGAATAACTTAAAATTTAAGCTCTTTCAATTTACCTCGGGAACGGAAAGACTAGCAAAAATATCCGGTATAAAATCCTTAGATTAAGGAAGGAAAAAAGAATTCAAAAATAACTTTTGAAGAAAATTGGCTTAAGCATGAACAAAGCTGGCATATCACTGGATTTGCAAGTGACGTAGTGTGAGTATCTCGATCCTGATTGGTTGTTGAAACGTGGGATTATACGTTAGAAACTGTTCTTCCCATTCTATTTTGAGTAAACTAAGCCCATTACGTATCAATTCTCTTAAGCGACACATTCTATATTCCTTCACAAATATTTCGATTTTTTCATTATTTTCGTACACAAAGAAACTAACTATGCATCGTAGTTGCCAGGAGCACGAAACAAAAATATATCACGGTTACAATAAAATAGGTAAACAAATAATTAATATAAGTTAAGAACAGAGATAAACGAGAAAGAATTATATTTCAGCAATTTTGTTGTGCGATACGGCGCTGTATTTAATTAACTTCACATTAATTAACATTCTAACTTATGTGGACTAACTTAGCGCAACTTTAACACGCCGATATACTTATAAGTTACCAGCTGGAGCTCACGTCATAGGTCACATGCGTGGGTATCTGTAATCTTCTTCTTGAAGTGCAAGTACCCAATTAACATTAGATTGATTTTTTTTTTTTGAATTTTATTTCATTAGATTTTCCCTCGAAATGAAAAAAATGAACATAAAACGAAAAAAATCTGTTTATGAGATTCTAGATAGTGGCAAATAATGTCTATCAAACAAATCTCAACAATTCCAAATTTCAAGGAAACAAAACTAATAACACATGATTCCTTCTACCGGAAATGCAATCTTTGTTTATGAAGAAACATTTTATCTCGTTTTTATGAGGCTTTCTTACACTTTTTTTTTCCGCCAAAAACAAATAACATTCTCACAACGGATATTTCTGTTTATCCGAATTGAAATTACACCAGTTTCCTTCCGCTAATAAACCACTACAATCCTACTTGGTGAACGACTTATCGCCAACAACATTCCACTTAAAGTTTTGCTTGGAATCGCTATCCAGGGATTCGATATTCTATACGCCCAAAATTGCATTTTTCCTCCTTCTCACCGGGACAACAGATAAATGTTCTGGAAAGCGATATAGACTAGTTCCTTTCCGCCGGAACCCATGGATCAAGAACTATTTATCACTTCCAAAGGATTTCCGCTGATGATAAGGTCATAATGATGGCTTACGCGAGATGGAAAAATTGCAGATACCTTTCTTTATCGTATCACGATATATATCAGCAGATAATTCGATACAGATCTCATTTAGATTGCACTGACTTATGCCTTGAAAGGCATTATCAGTGAAATACGTTATATCCTGAAACACTTTATAATAACTATGTTACAACATCAGTTCAATAAGCAATTTACTTACAAATCATTAGTTTTCCGTATGTTAAAGTAATCGTCTTTGTGACGTAAAGTTTAAACTGATTATAAGCACTTTTTTTTTCGCTGGAAAAAATATTTGTTTCTTATAGCTCTGAATTTGTAAATAAAAAAAAAGGCTGCAAAACATTTCCTTATTAAAAAATACTTTTCAGTTAGTTATTATGCAGGGAACTATATCCTTTGATGGAAATTTGTAAAATGAAATTTACTTTATTTGGATAAATTTTATGCAATTGATCAAATGCATTTTTACAATTACGTAAAATGCATTTCACTAATCATGTAAAATATATTTTCCATGATTATGTAAAAATATATTTGATATTGTTAAGTATTATTTTTAATAAATAATTATGTAAAATACTTATCATTTTCAAAGGATTTCCGATAGTGGTAACGATGGGTTAATGCGTTTGTCATAATGATGGTTTACGCAAGATGGAAAAATTGCCTATGATAACTTTTATTGTATCACGATATATATCAGTACATAATTCGATACATATCTCAGTTATATTGCACTGACTTACATCGGAAAAGGCATTATTAAGTGAAATATGCCATATCCTAAAGCACTTTATAATAACAAAAAAGAATAAATGAAAAAAAAAACGGGCCACTCTAAATAACTTTTGATCTAATGATCGCATTTTCACGATATAAGATTCAATCATAATGGCTCGTGAGGGTGACCTCAAATATGTTAAAAAATAAGTGCAAATGATATTTTAAAATACTAAATCAGACAAAAAAAACATACTTTCTCTGAATAAACATACCTTTTTATCAACGGATTCGGATTTCTGACCGCCAAATTAAAAAGGATAGTCGCTATCTGGGAAGTATGGTCAAAACAGTTAGATCAAGAGAGGGCTCCAAAGTTTGGACCCCTTAAATTTAGATTTTGCCTTAATGTTAATTTTAGATTTTGTGTGCTTAGCTTCATTTCGAGAACTTTTTAAGCGAATTGAAAACTTTTTACACTCAATTATAAGAATCGTTAATCTAAAGATAATTCGATGCAAGAAATAACTTCATTATTTTATTTAAGAATGGTCGAAAACAAATTTGAATTGTTAGGCATACTTTTTAAGCGAATCGAAAAATTTTTGTTCACAAGTTTAAAATTCATTAATCCAAAGATATTTCCATGCAAAAAATTTTTTTAGTAAATATTTGTTATTTTTATCATTTTATTTAATATTTGTGAAAAAACTTTTGAATTGGAAGGTATACAATTTTTTGCATCATTTTAAATAATGTAATTATTACATGGCAAAATTACATGGAACAATTGGTCGAATTTTTCCTGAAAAATTGGATTTTAAAATAGTTACATACTGAAAATTCGATTTCTCAGGAACTATTCGACCGATTTTGCTCACATTTTGTATTTTTCTATATAAAATTACATTATTTAAAATGATGCAAAAATTGTGTACCTTACAATTCACAATTTTTTCGACTATTCTTAGGTAAAATAATAAAGAAATAATAAGTATTTACTAAAAGTTATTTTTTGCATAGAATTATCTTTGGATAAACGATAATTCTGTGTCAGAATTTTTCAAATCACTTAAAAAGTTCATGAGATATAGCAAACTACGCAAAAAATAAAATCAACATTAAGGGATTCGAACTTTGGAGAGCTCT